AGAGTGGCCACATTAGTGGAAGCAGGAGTGACAATGAGAATTTGGGGAAAAGATAATATTGGGGAAAACCAGAGAATGAACATCAGGAGTGCCTGCAGGAGGACGAGGAGAGCTGGGTGTCCCATGAAAGGATGGGCTCCTGGAAATTCATCTGCACACACTGATGGAGAGGAGACCCCTACTAAGGCTGGAGAGCGAAGCCAGGGAATTCAACTGACCCTCGAGCGTAACTGCGAGGGTGGCCTGTGAGGGTGAATGGACATAGCCAGGTGGCTGCTTTCTGCCTCCATCTCCCACTTCTCAAACATGCAAGTCCCAGGGGATTGTGTCCAGAACGCCTCGAAAGACAGCTCCTGACAGGCCCCACCCCACCTTTTTCAAGTGTGAGCCATATCTATGAATGTGCCGGCTCAGGGTGGAGGCAGCTGATGGACCCCAGGGACCACGGTGCGGGCCAGCAAGCAGGGCAGAGTGTTCAACTTCCTCTCCCCTAACATGGCATTAAAAGTTGATGGGCAGGCTGTAGAACCGAAAGCCCAGGAACATGGAGCCTGTACCTCTGACCCAGCCTGGCTCACTCTCCAGTAGGGGACTGCAGGGGCAACAGGAGCTCCTCTGGGGAACTGTGGAGCTTGCCCCTGGTGGGTTCCCAGGATGCCTGGGGAGGAAGGAAGGCTGCCCGGAGGTGCTGGCATTGAGGTGGGGCCAGGCTCAGATGGAAGACACTCATTCTGGGCCGGGAGATGGCCATGCAAAGCCCTAGAGGTGGGAGGGTCATGGGAGACTGCAGAGCCCAGTGCAGGGCTCCCTCCCAGGGAGGGAGCAGGAGAGACAGGTGAGGTGGTCCTGGTTGGTTGAAGGTTGGGGAGGCCATGCCTATAGGACAGTGGGCTGAGACATTCCAGAGCTCAGTCCCAGGGGCCTGGGCTTATGGTTACTGAAAGGTCTTCAGGTAGTTTGGAGGTGAGCCCAACCAATGAAATGGATTGGCCATTGCTAGTGACCAGGGTCTTTGCAGACGGCATCTCTAAAGTGGAGGAAGCCCCTTGTTCCCTCCTCCTTTCCTTGTGGGCCAGTTCAGATGGTCTGGCTGATTCTGAGCAAAGCGTGTTCTCTTTTTACTGCCTGTGGGATGTGCTTAACCGTTCCTTTGCTTCATTCATAGATCCGGACGAAGGACAGAGTCTTTGACAGTATCAGCCACCTCATCAACCACCACCTAGAGAGCAGCCTGCCCATTGTATCTGCAGGGAGTGAGCTGTGCCTCCAGCAGCCAGTGGAGAGGAAGCAGTGACCCAGCCAGCGCTGCTCCCAGCACTGTGCACCAGGTCAGGAGGACCTGGAGTGGACTGGAATCGGGGCTGCAGGAACTGGGACAGCTGCCTGTGGCTCAGAGCCTTCTTCAAAAGCTTCAAAAGGAAGGCTTCCTTTAAGGTCAAGTTTCATAAACTTGGTTCTGAATTTCTCATATGCATATTAAAGGTGTACATACCTATACATCCTGTACAAAGTATCCCTCTATATTTATATTTTTTAAGACTAAGAAAGATGTAAGACTAATGTTCTGTGCTGTATGTTTTTAATGAAAAAAAAAATAAGTTTGACTGTAGTTGTCCAGGCAAAAATTTAATTCAACTGACCCACTCCACCGGGAAATGCCACTAGGAAGGTGTAGCCTGCAGTTTTACCTAATAAGCACAATTGGAGGGGAATAGAAGCACAGAATTGTGATGGAACTGCAAGGCGTGCTGCTCAGAGCATGCCTAGCCCTGTACTGAAAGCTATGAGATACTTGTTCTGAGGCATGACTGTGCTTGCTGGTGGGAGCAGACATCCTCCCTTGGCCTCCCTAGGATACCTCCTGTGCTCCCTGCACTGCACTCCACGTGCCTGGGGTGTCCAGCACCAGACGACTCACTGCAGCTTCACTAAAGAACAGGTGGCACTCCAGCTCCTCTGGGTCCTGCTGAGCACCGGACCCCGCCACCCTTGACCCCAGTTGTGCAAGGAGTACTTGGGAATTCATTTCATGCCAAAATGGCACAAAATAAGCTTCAGCAACCAAGATCTTGGTTGACGAGTGCTTCCCTGTTCTTGTGCATCTAATGCTAAAATGGGTATTTGTAGAAGGGTGGCCGGGGCAAGTTCCTGTTTGTGTCTCCCTCTCGTCAGCGGTTGACAACAGGCTGCTTGTGGTAGTTGCTAGTAAAGTCCCCCTCCCACCTTATACAATAGGGGAGAAGCCTGTGTGACAGCAAGAGCAGGCACCCATCCCAGAGCTGTCCCGGAGACTCAGGCATTGAGGCTTCTGGGGCTGCATGTGCCAGAAACCCAGGAGTCACTGGAATCCATTTGAGGTTCTGCCTCTGGCATGAGGGATGGGGGAAAGGCCTGCTGTCCCAACAAGGTTGCCCAGTCACTGCAGGGAAGAGCATGTGCCCACCCCCACTCTTTGTCTTGACTCCCTTTCTTCCAGGTAAAATACTGTCATTTCCTGGGGAGTCATTTGGTGTTAGAAAACTGGCAATGTTTATGGCTTTCAAATACTATCTGGGCTGAGACTGCCCTGTGATTTTCACAGGTACCCTTTAAAGAACAGATGGATCCATTTGCTTGTTGGCAGCTTGGCTCTCGTTCTGGTGAGACCCCAACAGGGTACAGCACCCTGTAGGGTACAGGTCAGCAGAACAGGAAGGACACCCTAAACATGTTTAGAGTTGGAGAGTGATAAATCTGATCCTGTAAGGAGAGTTACAAGGAGTCTGAAAACTCTGGCAGATAATAATACTGCTAAGTTCTAATGCCAGTGGCGTGGGCCCCATTTCTGCCTTGGGGTGTGCGTGTGGCCAGATGGCAGGATAGGTTAGAGCTAACCAGTGAGGATGAGTCAGGGCAGGCCCCAGCCTTCATACATGGCTTTCTAGGGGGGTTTTGCCTTTGAGGGTCCAATGAATTTGAGATGACAGTGAATTCAGTGTTCTAGAATGTTCTGCAGTGGATTGACACTCTGGAGAGTCTGGCACTAATGTAGACTGAGCTACTGTTTCCTGAAATGGTTTTGGCTTCAGGCATCATGTGGATCCTCTGCTTAGTGATCTAGAAGCAGAGGGCTGCATGGGGACGCTGGCAGCAGCTGCATCAGGCTTCTGCCCCGAGACAGTGTTGACTTGGATGCTCTGAGAGCTGCCCTGCACATCTGTCCTCTGGGAGGCTCGGAGCCCTGGAGAGACAACACAGCTCTGACCCATCTGTGTGTGCATGTGCACCACACAGAAAAACGTGCGAAATGACCTTCTTTCAACATTCGTGCATTCCCCGTTTGTGAAGGGTCAAAATGCTATTATAACATTCAGGGACAATAGCAAAGTAGGAAACGCAGATTAGGAGCTGTGAATGCTATGACATTTGATTTACTTTATTTTTCTCTTGGGGGGACTTGAATGGTAATCTGCAGCTTTAGTAGCTCCTGCTGTGAAGTCAGTGTCTAGTTCGATGGTGATAGAAAATATATATAATACTTTTTTTGCATGAGAATCAATTTAAAAATTCAAAGTATTGGAGTCAAATTTTTTCTTTTTAATATTAATTCAAAATATACATTTTAAATCTCAGATTAGAATATTGGTTACCCTAGAATAGTGCCAGTGAAGTGAGCAGGCTTCAGACATAGCAGATGGCAGCGATTTTCTAATCTTTGTTCCCTTCCATTTGTAAAGCGGATTAGAGCGCACGTTAGTTATCCCAACTCTTCCCTCCAGCACCGTGTGCTGGGCCATTCCTGTGAGCCTCACTGACACATGGGGAAACTGAGGCTGGGGCTGGTGCCACACCTTGCTGGAGGCCATGTTGTCATCTGGCTGCAGAGCCCTGCTCACTCAGCATTTCCTGGGCCCTGCTGTGTGCCAGCCTGTGCTTTGAGCTCAGGATTCCAAGGCAAAAGCAGTGGAGCCTCCCCCCTGTCTAGCCTGGGCCCCTCTTCCCCACACTTTCTCAGGCCACATCTCTGCCTGGGCAGGGCAGGGAAGCTGAACAGTGAACACAGTGGGAATGGCACTATACCTTGCGTTCCAGGGCCTCGGGCTTCTAGGACACAGTCGCTGCTGCTGTGCTGGGCCACTGTGGCCCTGCAGAGTGCACCTGGGCCCTGCTGCCCCTCCAGTGGGCACCCCCAACACTTAACCCCAAACTCTATGTCTTCTGGGAGTACAAGGTGGGGGCCAGCAGTCCTAAAACGGCCCCTCTGCCCTTACTGAGTGGCCCTAGAGACCCCTACCCACCTCCCTTAACCCCACGAATGAATCAGCTGTGCTTCAAATGACATCTCTGTCGCGCAGAGCCCGGCTGGGCCTCTCATGGGGGTGCTCATTGTGGTTTAACTCAGCTTTGATTCTTGACCTCCAAGGCTGCCTCTGAGTAGCTCACTGGAGAATCAGGTGGGGAGGTGAAAAACACTGCAGTCAAATGACTCAATCTTAAATCCTGTGCTTAAGACACCACTGTTGCTGCTTTTTATATCGGAAGCGCCCAAAGACTGGGCGTCCACTCAGCCTTGATGAGTGAGCGGCTATTTTGTCAGGCCATCTCTAATGTTGGGATAATGGACAAAGGCCTGATGGGGCCATATATGGCCTTCTTTAGGGCCTCCTGGAGGAGGAGGAGGTCATGGGGAATTTCTAATGAAGAAAGGAAATGAGAAGCCCTGTGTATAGGTAAAGGCCTAACTTAAAAGGAAGGACAGGCTCAGGGAAGGGTGGATCCTAAAGGACCCATGTGCTGGGGGCACAGTGGACATGTGTGTCCAGCCCAGCCTTCATGCCTGGTGCTAGGATTCTGAAAGTGGCCCCCAGCTCCCGAAATAAAGCTTTCCTTTTCAGTAGCATCCGAAACTTGGGTAGCTTCTTTCTATAAGCAATGCTTTAAGATGGACGTCTGGGTCCTCATTTCCTCCAAACTGGCTGCCACCTGAAGGGCAGTCACACATTTCTTTTCTGTTGGGCTGAGCTGGGCAGAAGCCTTGGACTGTAGGCGTTCCTGGGGCAGGGGCAGTGCTGGCCACGAGTAGATACCTCCACCCTGGTACACCCAGAACGGCATGGACTCAGGCGGGTTGCTGGATTTCTCTAAGCCTTGGTGTGCTCTACACCGCAGGGCTATACATGTTCCCAGCTTGAGAGAGTGCTGGGGATTGACAAATATATGAAACATGTAAAGCGCAATGATTTTCTAAAATTCTGCATTCCCAACGTGCCCATCAGTTCCCTCTTGCTGGCCCAACTTTGCGTGCTGTCCACAAATCCCTTTCTGTGGACGGTGACGGTAGGATTGGGAGTGAGCAGGAGGAATGTGGAAAGATCGCAAAGAGGTCATTGCAGGACCCAGACAGACCTTGCAGTGGGTTTCAGAGTAATACTCAGGTTCTCCCGTGGAACTTTCAAAGTTGGCTATAAGACAGATAAAGTGGACAAACCCACTCCTGTACTACAGTCCTATAGTGCCAACCTAGAACTGTCAGCTCCACACAGGATCACAGGGCAGGGAGCTCGGCAAGACAGCCCAGCTGGGGGCCCCGCTTTTCAGAAGCGGAAACTGGAGCCATGCAAGGGCCTGGGGATCAACTTAGGAAAGAGCACAGGACTCACAGTCCTGGACCTGTGTGTAAAGCTCACCCCCCGCCCCATGGAAATGGCACGCAGTGCTTCCCTCCCGGGTTCTACATCTGTGCTCCATCTCGAAATGTGTAAAAGCCTGAGTCATTCAGATGGGAGAGGCAGTGTTTCTGTTTCCTCTGTCTTAGTTGGGGTTTCTCCAGAGGGAAACCCTGAGAGAGGACTTGAGGGTATGTAGTTTATTTGAGTGAAGATCCCGGGAGTAGGGAGAGAAGGAAGCTACGAGGAAGACATGCATTATCAAGTAAGTTACCATCATGTGCACAACTGGAGCCGAATCCCACTGGGGAACCCTGAGAGACAGAGCTGACAGCCCAGAGTGAACCCAGCAGAGTGGGGAGACGGCTGGGGTATTTATTCACCAAGTCTATCACTTATGGAAGGCTGTTTCTGGAAACAGTTTCTGACTGGCCCTGCACACACCTGTACATGCTTCCCAAGCCGGGGAAGTCCTTGGGCCGAGAGACAGGCGTTCATGACAAGCAGACTCGGATGGAAGGCAGGCATCAGAACCACCCTGCGAGCTGGTTCAGACAAAGATGGCAGGCCCTCCCACCCCCTGGCCCTGCCAAGCTCCTGACTCCCTAGGTCTGGAGTGGGGCCCGAGAATTTGCATTTCAAAAATTCTCCAAGCGATGTTGGTGCAGCTGCTCTGAAGTCTTGACTTTGAGAATCACTCACTAGTGAGAGTTTCCAGCCCTTACCTGTCTCTTATTGATGGCTTTCCCCCCTCTAATTTATAATTATGTTTTCACACCACTTCATGTCACAGATCCCAGGGTCCGTGCTGTGAATTTAAAAGTGGAGAATTAATAAGCATTTATAACTCCATGCAACCATTGCTGGCAGCTTAAATGCCATCTGCCAGCCACAATTTATTTATAATGGGGTTTATACATATTTATAAGTTTGCAAGCAACAAATGCACAGTTTTAAAACTGGCACATTTTATAGCAGCCAGAAAAATTGCAACTTTATACCAGGACTTGTGAATGTGAATTGCATATGTATATACGTACATGCATATACTTACATTGATTAAAAACGGATCTGCATCTCTGTACACATGCAGACTGACTCTGTGCTGTGCACCTTGGGACTCCTCCCTGGGCTTTGGTTTTACAACTAACTAGGAAGTCAAACAAACATGAAGAATTTGGGAATTGGCAGGCTGTGGCATCAGCCATGGAGGATGGTCCTGGATGCTGTAGGATGTGGGATCCAGCACAAAGGGAACAAGAACAGGACATGAGGACCACAGGGGCTGGGGGAACCCACTGTGGGAAACGACAGAGAAGCCAGCAGGGGAAGACATGGAAAGAAGAAGGTGGAGGCAGAATAAAGATGAGAAGAAGGGAAGAGGAGGCTAAAACAAGTCTAGATTTAGACCTTTGTTCATGCAGCCATGCATAGCTGTCTGAGGCCAGCGGGGAAGGAGGAGAAAGGGAAGGTGTGGTGGAGGAGGCTGTGCTGGTGATGTCATGCTTTGGTGTATTCCCAGGTGCAGCTGCATGTACTTGGCACAGTCTCTTGGGATTTCTGGCCAGCTTCTTGGGCTCATTTGCACATTAGTTAATATGTGGCCAACGCTGTACTGGAATCGTGGGATAGAGAAGTGAATGTATGAGGTCTCTGCCTGAGTTTATAACCTAGAAAGAAATAGACACACACACACAAAGGTGTGGAGTGTGACAAGCCTTAAGGTACCCATGTGTCCAAGTAAACTAGAACCAATGAGAGAGGAGTGCCCAGGTCATTCTGGGGACTCTGGAGGCTTCGCACTGCAGGTGTCAGATACTGAGTGTTAGTGGCGCGGAGGAGAGCGCGGAGGGCTCAGGATGGGGAGGGACAGCCTGGAGTTGCCACTCTCAGGAGAGATGCTAGAAGGGGCGGGAGGTGATCCCAGCCTCCGTTCTTTCCTCCTCCTGGCTGTCACAGATGTTCTGAATTGATGAATCCCTCCGGCCAAACACACAGGCTCCTTCCCTAGGGCTGGAAAAACGGTTCTCGCTGAAAAAGCACCAGGAATAAAATCTCATACCATTTTAGGTGACTATTTTATTGTCTCACCTTGAAATACTGCAGACGGAAAGACGCGCGCATGGGGAGCTGTGGTCCCGAGCTTTCAGGTGATGAATTCCTACTCATGTGGTCATTTTTACCATAACCAAAGTTTCTAATAACCACCAAAATCAAGTGGCAATTAAAACAGGCATTAATGGATAAATCCATCTTTAAATATTAATGGGGTTAATTTTGTTAACAACTATGTGTTGGTTGCAAGTGGAATGTTCTGTGTTCATTTGACTTTTGAATATAACTTGTTCCAGAATATTGTAAAATTAAGTATGTGAATGTTTCTTTGTATTCAGAATGAAACATTTGGTGTTAAAATCCCAGGATTAGGAGACAACTCCATGTAAATTTAATGTGTAATAATAAGATAATAACTTTTTAAAAAGCATTTGGATAGCAAATTATACATATTGACAAATGAATATTATTTGAAAGTTGTTTTGTTTCCATTAACTTTTTGTGAAACAAAAAGAATTACTGTAACGGTCTGTGTCTTGGCGTATTGCCAGTTCACCACTTTCTACTTTGTACTGGAACAGAACTGGCTTTTTGGACGTCCCTGAGGAGTGGAAATACAAAACAAATTTCAAGTTCTCTAATCTTTGTTCTATGACAAAGGATAAAACCTAAGTTATCTGGTCAGTGTTTTGGAGATTTGACAACACAGCAGGTGAAGAGAATTAGCTTAAATTCCCTCCTCCCTTTCGATGAATCCACGGCGATTCCTTCACTCTGTCAGGAAATGGTGTGGTTTCCAAGCATGAGCCCTTCATGATCTGTCTGGTGCATCTCTGTGCTCCTGGGACCGCCAAGTGCAGGCATGGCATCACATCCCCAAGTGTCATCCTGTGACCCACGAGGGGAAGATGACACACCCAACTTAGGTAATGCTGCACTTCTTGTTATAATTGGTTATTGGAAAATGTGCCTTTATTATCAGAACAGTGGTGTGCGCATTTCTGATTATGTAGCTAACCTTTGGATATCTGACTTAGATACTAAAAACATTTGGGTGTTGCAGTTTTGCACTTGTAGATACAATTTAAAAGCATGAAATTGGTGATTTAATTAGATGTTTTCTATAAAATGCACCTTGTTACATTTCTGTGAAAGGGTCTTACCAGCGTGGAATAACTGGCTCAAGGGTTGAGAAAAGCAACCATTTTCTAAACAGTTAATTGTTTAAAGGACTATACATGTAAGTCTGCAGGCAATAAAGGCTATTGTGAAAAGTATCTTTCATTTGGATGATGGATTCTGTATTGCCTCACTAAAGAGAGGAGGGGAGCTTGAAACTTTTCTCTAGGAAGGAGGTATTTTCCGTGGTTCCCCGGGAGACTTTTAAAAAAACAGTTACAACAAAGCCTCGTCCCATCCACCAAGGCTGTGGAATGAAAATGTATCCTGGCAGATGTACTCCTAGAGGACCCACCTTACCTTCTAGCACCAGGGTGGGCAGCTGTGTCCTCACTTGCGTTGGGGCATTTCATCATGAGCTGTAATAAGCATCGCTACCAGAACAGCTATGCCGAGCACTGGCCTCCTCTTTACATAGCACGCAGGTCAGAGAGGCTAAAATGGACCGTTTGCATGGGAGAAAGCTAAGTGTGCAAGGGTTGGCTCTGACTTATTCTCTCCTGCTGCATAAACAAGAGCAAATGGGGCAGGACAAGAGGTCCCATGTCTTTGAGCTGCCATGGGTCTTACAAATTTATCCCTACCAAAAGACCATTCTCAAAATAGTATGACCTACCAAACTGGTGTAAATAACACCCAATGCACCGAAGTTTCATTAAAACACCATCTATGGTAGTGGAGAAGAAGAAGAAAGGGGAAAGATTCTTTGGGGTTCTGCATGTGGTTTAATTCCTGAAATGCTGAGAAACACAGGTGGGTAGCAAGCCTGCAACACCGCGCACCCCTGCAGTGGGGAGGGCGCCCGGTGAAAACAACAGAACAGTCCCATCCCACGGCCTCCCAAGAGTGGGTTTACACGAAGGCTTTTGGTTTTAGTTTATTTTTTTTAACAAACATACATTGGAAATAGTAAAGGTTTCTAATTGAAAAGAGATCTAATGCATAGTTTCTCTGCAGCATAGAAGACCACCTGTTCCCAAACTTCAAGGTTAGGGCTTTGAAACATTCAGCTGCTAAATTATCTCCAGCTGGCTAGCTAGTTAGACTTATTGGAGCACATTGGTATCAAAGGTGATTATGTTTTGCATTTAGCAAATGAGCACAGTTACTTTTTTGATGTATTTTTAATTCAGATGGCTCAAAAGTCTTGTTATTTCAAGGAAGCCTTATGTCATACCACAAACATTGATACCTCCTAGTGGGAATGGTGGCTGTGGGCTCCCTAGTAGAGTTAATGGATGAAGGCTGAGATACTTAGATATTGGGGACATCAGGGTTATGGAGCAAAGCGTTATGAACAATAGCTAGAGAGAGCTCCAAGGCTCCCAAAGCAACTCATAACTATAACAGATAAAGTTCCAAAGTCATTTCATCACCTATGTGAAAATGCAATACTGAATGTTTTGGCTTTCCGATGCATTTTGTTGTTGTTTTATTTTATTCATTATTTATTTTTTTTTTTTTTGAGACAGAGTCTTGCTCTGTTGCCCAGGCTGGAGTGCGGTGGCGCAATCTCGGCTCACTGCAATCTCCGTCTCCCGGATTTGAGCAATCCTCCAGCCTCGGCCTCCCAAGTAGCTGGGACTACAGGCATGCGCTACCGCGTCCAGCTAATTTTGGTGTTTTTAGTAGAGATGGGATTTCACCATGTTGGTCTTGAACTTCTGACCTCAGGTGATCCGCCCACCTCGTCCTCCCAATATGTTGGGATTACAGGCGTGAGCCACTGCGCCTGGCCTGTCATTTTCTTAATCCAGTACTTCAATGTTTTACTGTCCTAGAAATGCCCTGGGTTTTCTCATGCTATTTCATAAGAGAATACGCTACTTTTCATTGATGTCAAGAAGGCAACAGAAATGCTCCTGGGGAAGATTTCCTTACAAATAGGTTTCATCTCATCAGTAACAAAAATTAGAAAAGTCTTTGGTCAGCCCATGGAGATGAGTTACCCTGAACCCACAAAAGTGTCTCTTTATAAGAGCAACTTGCATCAGATGACAAAACAGGAATCAATTTCTCTTAGAAAAAGTGATTAATGTGTTAAGACCGCTCTTTCAGGTTTTATTCAGGCAAATGCCCACTGAACCTAAAATACTTTAGGGGACTCTGATGTGAGCTTCCTTTGAAGGCTGGTTGGTTTTGTCCTTGTTTTTAAAGAGAACTCAACACGGCAACTGTGTGCTTATGACAGTTCTACAAACGTGTTCACTTTTCTTTCCATCTATTTGTATAACATGTACAATCCTTGGGGAAGAGCATGTACCAAAATGTCTTCTAAGAAATCCCTTTACAAGGTAAACAGACTGCTACAGGTTCAACTTATGTTGAAAAGTAAAATTATAGTATCGTGTAGGTATTATAATAATAGATCACTTTGAAGAATGCATCAACTGCCAGATCACATTTTCTAACCTGACAATTAAACTTCTCTTACTGATAGTCACTGTTAGTCCCAGCTTTCAGGAAGCTGTGAAACTGCTGGTGGCCACAGCTACTCAGCTGTGACGCCACAGGGGATTACTGACTTGGTGCTTTTCTAATATAGAAACAAACTCAACATAGAATCAAAGTGCTGTCTTGTGAATCTCTGCTCATTTCCTAGACACCTTCTGTTTCCTGAAGCAGACCTCCGCCCCAGTGGCATGGGAAGGTGAGCCAGGTCAGCCGTCCGCTTCTGCTGCTCCCTCATAGGCTCTTTCTTTGGCCCGCCTGGGGGCACAAGCTCCTGCGTGATCTCGACTGGCTTTTCTGTGATTTGCAGAAACCTGAAAACCATCACATCATTTGACTTTGGGATATGATTAAAATTACTCAGGGACAAATGACTGAAAGGACACAGGGCTGGTGTGGGTCAGACCCTCACATCTGGGGCCAGCCTTGGACAAGCCCTTTTTGGAGAATTTGAACTTCAAAAACTTGGTGAACATGAGACTTCATGTCAGTCTAAGGAGAACAGGGATGGCATGTCCACCTAGTTCACAACCATGTCCTTGTACCGGGGGTTCAGTCCGAACCCACTTGTATAACCTGTGACCTATGTGTTGTATGGAGATTCTATGTATGTACCACATGGCAAACACCTGCAACACAAATTCTGTGTAACATAGAGATGTACGAATATACAAGCATCCATTCTATGCATAGGAAATGTAGTGTAAATCATCAAAACACCGTTCAGAGGCACAGGGAGAATCACACAGCATTATGTGGCCCATGACCTTCCCTCTCTGTGAACAACAGGGAGGGTGTCTGGGATTCAGCAGAAGGCTGTGGATGATGTCAGCAGCTTAGTACATCTGAAAGGCTCTGGAGCCCAAAGCGGACAAGGCACGTTGTCTACACTGAAATGGGGTGGTGATTCCTCGGGCCCCCTCTG